TATTATGGCTATAATATGACAGCAAGTAAACCCGGAAAGCCATGAATCAAAGATCACAATGAACATGAAAAAATGACGTAGACGTTGCTATGACAACATCAGAACCCTTGGTGCCATCAAAAATGTTTATTTCAAAAATCATAACTCAGGAACCAAATGGTGAAATTTATTAAAAACAAGAATATTTAAACTTTGTATCGTAATCTTCTTTTTGACAAAAAAAGAAAAAATTCTGTAAGAGGGAATTCGTAAAAATCGATAAAATTTGTTTGGGTAACTGTCATTCTGAGCCCGGTCGTGCGAAGCCTGGATAGCGATATCCGGCGGRTAAATCTTATCCAGTGGATAAATCGATGCTGTTATCCAATAAATTTATCCACTGGATAAGATTTATCCGTCGGATAGCGCTATCCAGGCTTCGTGCAATCGGGCCAAGAGCTTTATCTAGGAAAATTTCTATAGCTTGTCCTATCGAAAATCAGGAGAAAACGTTTTTTTAAAGTGAGGTGTACTAAAGAGCTCACCTCGTCGGTCGACAACAACGCTCTCGTTTGTTCCACACGGTTAAGTTCGGGAGAATATTTGCATAAGGACACCTTCAATGCCATTGTGTTTATGTCGAAGTTTATAACTTTGTGGCCCAGAGCGATATTGAATTAATTATTTCTAGCGGGGTTGTTAAACTTCAACTGTAATTTTTGGTTAGAGCACATGAAGTAAAACCATGAAATAAAAACAAAGTTGATACCGATAAATAGTACTTATTTAGTGACTAAACAGTTGCTATCACTCAACCAAAACATACATTAGACAAAAGGCACAAATGGTCTTTTGTGTATATTTCTTTTTGTACAATGAATGTTGTGGTTGAGATATAGCAACTGTTAGTCACTAAGGCGCCGTCCACACGTGTCCGGAAATTTTTGTATCCGCAATTTTTTTTCGGATACGAAAATATTCGCGTCCACACGCAGCGTATTCGAATCGTTTTCGAATCGTTTTCACTGTCCACACGAATCCGGACATTTTTTGATCCGCCCTGATGCACGTTAGTGCCTAGTCCCTTTGACGGATAGTTTTTCTTATTGAGCATGCGCTAAATCGTGTTTACGTCAGCGTATTCCAATCTCGTACCCAGAGCCTGCGTTTTTTCTGGCCTGCGGCGAAGAACGAGGTCTCTGGCATAATCCATTTTTTGAGACTTCCGGTATAAGAGCGTATACGTTAAAAGACTTGCAAAAAATAAAAAAATATGTTCCCGATTTCTAATTCTTATTTTGATCGGAAGTAAACACAGAATTCTGTTTGAAAGCAGGTTTGAAAGCATGATTTTCATTGATTATGTTTCACTTCCGGAAAGCTGTGCATGCGCCAAAAATGGATTATGCCAGAGCCCTCGTTTTTCGCCGCAGGCCGAAAGAAACGCAGGCTCTGGGTACGAGATTGAGCGTATTCGAAAATTTGCGGATACGACCGTCCACACGTATCCGTATTCGGAGCGTATTCGAAAATTTCCACTCTGGAGACCGTTTTCGAAAATTTCCGGATACGGATACAAAAATTTCCGGACACGTGTGGACGCAACCCGTATCCGCAAAAAAAAAAAAAAAAAAAAAAAAAAAAAAAAAATTCCGGATACACAAATTTGCGAAACTTGTGGATGGGGCCTAAATAGCTACTACAGTCGACTCTCTTTGAACGACCACTYTCGWAAGCGACCATCTCCCATAAGCGACCACTTTTTGAATTTCCCGTTTTGTTCCCCATATAAACTCTGTAAAAAAAACCTCTCGTAAGCGACCGCGACCACCTTTGGGGTTAAAATTTTGGAATTTTTCAATGTTTTTTCTCTCCCGTAAGCGACCACCCAAGAGCCAGTAATGGTGACATATCCGCTTTAACAATAAAAAATTTAAGAACATAGAATCATCGGGTATTGAAAACCCGACGAAATATTTACAATTACACTACTGTAAACATATAGCACATTCAAAATTTTGATTAAAACAGTTTAATCGTTAATACAGTAGTTTTTACACGTGAGTTACAAAATTATAAAGGGTTTGGGCTTCCTGTGTTGGGATTCCCATTGTTTGGGCTTCCTGTGTTAGCTCTCGTAAGCGACCATCTCCCGTAAGCGACCACTTTCTCCTGGCCCCGAGGTGGTCGCTTACGGGAGAGTCGACTGTATTTGTCAGTATCAACTTTTTTTTCATTTCATGGTTTTACTACATGCGCTGTAACGTTTTAAATGTTTTCAACAATGTAAATAGGTATCGGAAGTTCTCCTCGGGGAACCTAATAAAAACTATTTTATTGTCAACAAACGAAAAACAACCACAACAACAATTAAGCCTCAGATAGCACTAAAACGTTGCCAGGATGTTTTATAAAGGATGTTTTATTGCAATTCATTGAAAGAAATGCTTTATTTTATAAGTCTCATACAGTCTCTTATRAAACTTGCACATGAACATTGTTTGGGCTGCCTGTGCCTCTACGTACCAGCCTTTTTTAAATAACTATATATATAAACAGGTGGAAGAAGCGAATAATGTTTTTTCCTCTGATTTCATTTTCGCCTTACAGCTTTATCTAAGATTTTCTCTCGTGGTCAATATTAATCAATTATGGAATTTTTCAATTAAGTTATTTATATACATTAATTAAGCCAACCCARGTTGTCACTACCCACCCCTAGTCTCCCCCACAGGCGCTTTCAGTGTCGTCACGCTACTCAGGGGAGATAGCGTTGCGTGAAGACACTGAAAGCGGCTGTGGGGGAGACTAACCCACCCCTGACCCAGTGAGGTTGCAAAAATAAATAATAATTTTCATTCTAAATACCACCAAACCCATCATGATCGGGCTTTCTGTGGTTATGGGGTTGTAGGGGGACTGGATAGGCTAGCCCGTGAGAAACTCCTTATTGGTAAGCATTCCATCTCATCTTCGAGGCTTTTCTCCAGAAGTCGAATATGTTCTGTGAAAAAATATATTTATAAAATAACTGTTATGAATGTCGCGTTCTGATTGGTTTGGAGCGCGTGCTTTATGAGAGCACATTGCACGCGCGCGCACTTTCCGTTGCGTCATTCCTATCTATTATTGTAATTTGTATTTTATTAAAAAAAAAAAMAAACTTGCTTGCTGTACTGTGTGCAGTCATAAAGCACTTGGGGGTTGGCAGAACACTCGAGAAGTGTCCAGAAGCCCTCCCTACGCGTCGTGCTTCTCCTAACACTTCTCTCGTGTTATGCCAACCCCCTCGTGCTTTATGACAGCACACAGCACGCGCGCGCGTTTTCTATTTCTTCAATAGAAGTACATGAGAAGGGGTGAGTTCATTATAGCCTTTTGTCGTAGCACCGCTTACGGGGATTTCTCCGTGTTGCGTACACGGGGGGCAGAGAGGGACCATTATCTTTCATTGTTTACTTAAATGTCTTGTCGCTCCGCCATCTTGTTTTTATTAACTACCGCTGTACATAAATATGAGTAAGCTTGAGCCCGTCAGATACCGCTGTACGTCAAGCATCCGCAATCCGAGCTAACGGACAGCGCGCGGTATCTGACGGCCTCAAATTACTCAGATTACGTACAGTGGTAAAGACTTTCCCTCCCTCTGCAAAACCCAACACGGCAACATTCCAATTCGAGCTGTAAGTTAGTCATACCATGACTTAGATCAGCCCAGAGGTTGTTTCAGGGTTCAATCTGTGAGTTAGCCGTGCCCTGACTTATATCAACCCTGACGTTGTTTCAGGGTTCTATCAGTGTGAGTTAGCCCTGACTTAGATCAGCCCAGAGGTTGTTTCAGGGTTCYATCTGTGAGTTAGCCATGCCCTGACTTAGATCAACCCAGATGTTGTTTTAGGGTTCAATCTGTGAGCTAGTCATGCCATGACTTAGATCAGCCCATGAATTGTTTCAGGATAACAGCGATTGATAAAACGCACCCTTTTCAAAATTGTCTCGCATGCTAGGCTAAAATGGAAATACAAAAGTATCGCACAAAGTCCATTGAGAAGAAGTGTGATTTCTTCCGCATTTTCATGTTAGCCTCGCGCACATTCACGATACTTTTGAGAAAGGTCCATTGATTGTATGGTTGCTTTGATTCTTCTATGTACGTACTTACCTTTATCTAGCTCGCCTATTGTGCTCATCTTGTGCATGAATTGTAAGCACATATCTCTATCAAGCCCAAATGCTTTCATATTACTGACAAATGTCCTGTGGAAAAGTAAGATATGCTTCTGTCATTTGGTATGTTACACATAGTTCCATGACGTCATAGCCGCCATCTTGGTCAAATACACCTCTAGCTTCTTTGTTTGTTGTGCACATGGAGTTGATTCTTTCATGTGYAAATATTTTAACATGTTCGTCATGAAAGAACAATTCTCATGGGAATGTCATGTGTCAATTTGCATACGAAGCTAAAAAGGACTATTTAACAAAAGACTTGTCAATGAACTCTTTTGTTCTGTAAACCAACATGGCCGCTGTGTCTTTTGTTATTTCACTCCCTTTGGAATGATTGAAAACCAGCAAAGGTCTTCACATGGAAACCATTTTTATTCTGTGGTCTACATTTCGCGTGACAGCACACGTGAAAAAATACAGTATACTGCCGCATTGCGCTTTTTCAAAAAAACGTTGCTGGAATGGAATGCTCCATGCAACGAAGACGCAATCGTTGTCAAAAGTAGAAAACAGACCCTGTAGAAAATTTATAGAATTTAAGTTATTCTTACCCTAGTTTTCCAAAAAGGCTATTTTTGTCACACTCTTGGTAATCTAGCTGTTCTTGTGACGACCAACTGTCCCATTCTTGACTGAAAAACAGAAAACAAGAATTTCATGATCGTGATGAAAACGACTCACGTGCGTTAAGGGAAGATTACACGGAGCAATTTTATCTGCAACTTGTTTCGAAACGGCGTTGCGTCACAATTTGCATGTGGCATTGCAGCGTGTAACCTACAGCGCAATTTGAAAAATGTTGCGAGACAAGCCGCACTAATCGTTACGAAAAGTAGAATTCGCTTCTACTTTTGGCAACGGTTGCGTCTCCAATGCACCGTGTAAACACTCTTGCAACTTGTGTCGCAGGGGGGTGGGGGGTAGGTGTTTGGG